TGTCAATTTTGCCCAAGCATCAGTACAATCAATTACCAGAATACTTCTAAAATATTAATGATACATCACTGTTAGCAGATGGTGAACCTAACTGCTTGCTATGATCAAGCTCAAGCAAGATATATCCAGCTCAGACATGGGCTGAAAATGCTGATGGTGAGAATAAAAAGGAAGAAAGAAGGAAGGACACAATATCCTAGGGATCCTGTTACAGGACAAAAGTAAATGTTGTTACTCATAGTATTTTAAAACCCACACTTAGAGGTTATTCCCCTGAAAAGTCTAGCCATAACACCCATAAGGTTCTCTATCCAGAAGCAATCCTTGAGAGAAATATTCTTTATAACTCAAAGTAGACCTAGCCTGCGGAAGGCAGAAATTTCTTAACTCCTTGGAGGCTGCTGCTTCTGCTTTCCTACTTGAGGACTCTCATCTGAGAGAGAAGCACCATAGACATAACTGAATAGAAAACTTTTAAGTCCCATTCATAGCCCAGTGAATCACCAGAATAATATGCAACAGCTGAACTACACATGTGAACCTGCTATTCCACAAAAAGCCTATCAAGTCTACTTTTATTCCATAAAAAGACTATTATCAGGATACCACCCTGCAACCAACTTAGGTGTAACATGAACTTATGAGTAAGGTTAGGGCATCAGAAGATACAGATGTCACCAGCTGAGAGTAATCAGTTGGGTGCCCAAGGAGCAATCAGTATCCCACACCGCAGCATCTTGGTCAAGGGTCAAGTCTGAAACTCAAAACCTGAGCTAGCAAACATGAAGACCCAGAGCTAAGAAAGAAATGGACTTTGGGAGAGCCTAGTCCTTAGTATGGTACTTTGGACTCCAAACAAGGAGTACAGGCTTCCAGGAGCCTGTACTGCACAAACGAGGTGCCCTGTGATGATTTCAAAGGAAACCTGAATGCAGAGTCAGCCACAGAGCAGTCAATCACCGAAAGTCAGACCAAACCTACAATGAGCCAGCCCACAATGGAATTTCAATCCCATCTCTTACCTCTCCCTCAGTCCCTTTTGACCACTGGATATCTGAAATGGAGTAGTACAACCTCCCAAGGGCAGGAGCTCTCAGACATTATATGTTAAAAAGGTCACGGTTTTTTAGCCTTTCAAAAGACAAGGTCCCCCTGAACACGTGCCGAAGCAGCATCACACAAACAGAGGAAGCATTAAGACACAACACAGACACACATTGATATAATACCTATGAAGTGGTGACACTGTGGAATGACATGGCAACTGCTGAAAGTATTTCACAATCACAAAGCGGGGTCTGGATGCCCACATTTTATGAAATCCCCAGTTTCAGCACCTACGTCTACTTGTAAAGTATCCAGCTGTACTTTAAAGTTGCATACTTTTTACACCTGGAAGGAATTAAACAAATAATTGCCTTTAGGAGAAACTCTATCTCTTCTAACACTTAAGACTCTACAGCTGAGAAAAAAAGCTGGCTGTTTTGCCATAAAATAAAAATCCTCCAAGTCACAGATTTCACAGTATCCTGAAAGACCCAAATCCCATTGGAAAATAATGGGATTGAATGCATGGATTCTAAAATACAATGGAATTTCAATCCAATTGAAATGCAATGAGATTTGAGTACCTAAATCCCATAACCTGATTGGAAGTCTACCTTCACATGATCATGGGGGCAGGTGGGACTTTGAAAACATATCCCATTATGCCTCAACTAGCACAAAAGAAGCTGCATTTAATTCAATAACATTATCCCAGAGTTCTCTCCTATAGGATTATTTTTGGGGGGTTATTTTTTTACAACTGAAGGAGGCATTGCTGAACCACTAGTGTTAAACACAGTTAGCAGTTTCTGCATTCTTCTTCCCAGTAGAGAAAGTGCTGGGAAGTTCACAGAGGTTGCATAAAGTTCTTTTACATTAATAGGCTTTTCTGATTCTGCAAGCCCTTGCCCCCAAACAAGGTTAAATTAAGCTAGCAAACCAGCTAGCATTAGCAAAAATCATGTCTTTGGCACAAAGGATTACAATGGCCAGACTGATTTTGATCAGACCTATAATATATATACACCAATCCTCTGGAAAATCAAATAACTAGCATATGAAGGCAGAACACAGATGACATCTGGTACCGATACGCGAAGAAAAAACCCCAGCAAACACTTTCCGCTGTTTTACACATTTAGCAACTAGTTTTGTTGAACTTTCGCCTCCATGAAGGTGAATTACAAGGTATTGCCACAGGGTGGCTCATCTCGCCTGCTACGGGAGCAACAGACTTATCTGCTTACACAAGCAGCCAAAGCGAGTCTGTTCTTTCTCAAAGCCTTGCGGATTGCTGCAGCCGGAGTACACAGGGAAGAACGACTACAAAGAGAAAACCAGGAAGGGCACAGACCCAGTTTTAATTTATCTTAACCCTGCGTAGTTTGTCTCCTGCCAGTGAAACAACAGTCGTTCCTGATGATTTTGTGGGTGGATCGTGCCTTGTGATGTGAGGGCACTGAGCCCATATTCCTCAGCAGCCAAAAATCCTACGGACTTCTTTGGAATTTCCAAATGACAAAAGAAATGCAGCCTCATGCCTTGTTCCTATACCTGCTCACTGTTACAAAATATATCTTGTTCTCTTCGAAGTATTTGGGATAGGACTCTTATTCGATTGACAGTGGCACAATGAAAACTGACTTCACTATCATTGGGCAGGCTGTTAAAAATTTTATGTTAATCTGTACAATAAAATCATGTCTCACCTCTTATGATAGCAGACCAGCAAACTGAAAAACATGCATTCATAACTATCAAATGCATCTAGATGTGGAAAAAAAAACCCTCATTTGTTTTCAAAAGCTAGCTTGGTGTAGGTAGGGAACTTTATAAATAACTATTTACAGTTAAAAAAATTCAAACACAGAATATACAACAAAATTATTGTAATGGTCAGACATGATCAACTACTATAGAAGAAAGTATTCCGAACAAGTGGAAATTAGAATTATTTTGTTTCTAACAGTTTTTTTCTTTTCTGCTGCTGTATGTTAAACAGCATTTTCATCTTGAGTGATATAAAGTTTAAATTCATAATAGTTACATGCTCTGAATACCTGGATCAGCAGTACAATTTTCAAAATGCAATTGATTAAGTTTCCTCAGATTTAGTATATTTATTACTAAAATGCATTTCTAAAATCCAGTGCATTGTCTCTTCTGAGTACTACATACTTAAAACAGAATTGAGAAGTTAAAGAGGGAATTAGATCCAAAAAAGATCCCCATGGTATGGCTTCTGAACTAATCATTCACAAATGCTTTTCAAAACTATTAATTCTACTCATGACAAATACCAGCTATCCTGCCAAATCTGAGGAAACTGCTTAAAAGACCAGCATCCATAAAAACCACAAAGTTCAAAATTAATTCCAGACAACCCAGCGTACTGCTGAAATAATATGGCACAGGGAAAAACCCAAATGAACAAAAACCCAAAACAAAACAAAACAAACCCACCACCACACCAACTCCCTCGTACTCAAAAGAATATAATTCCTACTCTGATGGTAACAGCAGTCCCCAGGGCAGTATAGTGAGATGGGCAGTGCCTCAGGCCTATACACCTGTCAGCAGTCACAGACCAGATCACCTTACAGCACAGTTTTCGCTGTAAAACACAGTTTTTTGTGTGCCCATGCCCTGCAAAAGGCATGGAGTTTACGATAAATAAGCAGATGAGCTGCACAGCAGGAACAAGAGCTGCCATATCTTCCAGAGCCACGAAACAGGAGAGATGTTCGGCAGCAAGCACAGAGATTGCTCTAGCAGCTGCCAGCACTGTAAAATCCTAAAGAGCCCATGTACCTGCCAGAAAAGAGATTCAAAACAGGGGAAAGGGCAACCCCAGAAAATCACAGGTACGTGGTAACCTCCAGAAGTTGTTCTAGGTACTCTGTTTTTACATGAGGTATAAAAAAAATGCAAATAATGTACTTTTAACACAAACTGTTCTACGTTCATTTCCTCCAGAGTTCCACGCTCCCGTTTACATACCCTAGGTCGCTACGAGATACCGAGATGCTGCTTTATTCTCACCACAGTGATTTCCTCCCCCCCTCCACACCCACCGCCCTCTGTCCCTCGGGAAATTCTCTGATCACTTTCACCCGTGTAATTTCACAGCACTCCACTATTACCCCCGTTCCGCCGCCCCGCCCACACCCCGCGGTACAGCGGGGCTCTGTAGCGGTCCTACGGGAAACCACCCTAACAACGCGCACTTGGGAGCGGCCGAGGGGTGTCCCGCGGCCGGGATCCGGGAAAGCGAATCCTTCCCTTCCCTTCCCTCCCGCTCCTCGTTGCCCACAGGGGGCGCCCCGCCCCGCGGGAGCCGCAGCGCCAGCCGGGGCACTACAACGCCCACAATGCACCGCGCGCCGGGACACGCCGCTCGTGGCCCCGCCCTCCTGCCCCGCAGCTCCGCCCCCGCGCGGGGCGGGGCGGCGGCCGGCGCGGCGGCAGGCGCGGCGAGCGCGCGGCGGCGGGAGCAGGTGAGCGGGGGCGCGCGCCGGGACCGGCGGGGTGGGAGGCGCCGGCACCGGGAATGGGGGGAGCGGGAGCGGCCGGGCGAGCGGAGCGGAACCGAACCGATCCTCGCCGCCGCCCGTCCCACGCCGGGCAAGGACGGCTCTCGCCGCCCCCGCGCCGCGGCGGTGGCGCAGCTCCCGCGCACCTGTGCGGAGGCGGCCGCGGGCGGTGGCACCGCCGGGTCTGGCTGCGCTCGGGCGGGACGGCGGGGACGGCCCCCACCATTGCCCGGGGCGGGGCGGGGGTGAGGAGCGGCGCTTCACCAGCCGCACCTCGGGGTGGTTCCTCCTGCGCCGCGCTGGGACCGGCCGATCCCCGAGCCCCGTGCGAAGGGACGCGGGTTTCGCGGGCCCCGGCGGTACCGCGGGCTCGGCGGCCGCCCCGGGAGTTACGTAAAGCGGCGGCGGCGCTGCCCGAGCGCGGCCCCTGGGCCGGGCCGGCCGGACCGGGTTACCCCGGGCGGTACCGGCGGGGCTGGGGTGGTTCTCCCTTTTCAGAACCGTCCCGTCACGGCCGAGGCAGCGCATCCTGATGTGCAGGTTCTGGGGGCAGGGTACCTTCAGTGGCTTCTAGTTCCATCACAGACTCTTTGAAACAGGAATTGCCCCTCTGTGTGTGTGTATGCACGAGGTGTGATAAATATCCCCCGCAGTTTCTAATTCATAACCAGGTGAAATATGTTGTCAGGTAACTTGGCTGAACGCGGCACAAAATTATTATTATTATTATTAAAAAAAAACCAAACATTAAACCTAGCCCAGAAAGTTGTTTCTCTAAATGTTCCACTTGTTCTTCAGTGGACATTCCGCAGTAGTACTTAAACAGTAAACATCAGAGGCCGGCTTGTCTATGTTCTCCAAACAGAGGCGTAATATATCTAACCAGATCACAAATAGTATTGTATAGCTAAAAGTCTTCTAAATCCAATTATAATTGTTAAGTAAGGATTGCTTTGTTCCCAATCTATTATCCTTGAATCGTGTGGCTTACGTGTTTCTCACTGAACGTACAAACCATTAGCTTAAGAGGGTTTGGAATTGCGATAGCTGCAAGCTGGAGGCGAACCCTTTTTAAGTGGTTTTATTACAGCCTATTTGCTTCACCCGCAGAAAGGAAGGTGGCTGCTGTAAACACCGGGATAAGCTGGTGTCATGCTGCTCTGTAGCATGTGACGGCTTGGTTCCCGGGACTGTCCTATCCTGTTTCAGATCTAGCAGTCCAGTGCTTCCAGCAAATGTCCTCTTCCTTCTGTTTTGTTCTTAACTTAGAGTTGGGAATCAAGCTAAACCAAATACAGCTTCCAAACAAGAAGCCAATTTCCTGCAAAAGTAGAGTGAATATCCAGACAAGAAAGTGCAGTCTCTAGGTTTTCTCAGGGGTGTCGTGAGCGATCTGTTTGCTCTGAAAGTTGGTGTGGTGCAATGATTCTACTGGTTCTGTGCAGTGACACGTGAGACCAGTCTACGGTGAAGCTTGGGGAGTAGCAGAGTGTGCAGCTAAATCTTCCCTCCTCCTTTTTGCACAAACGTAAGCAAGGAGCGATGTGGTTTGTGTAAAAGGGTTTTTGAAATGAAATTATTTGCTTTTCCTCTTACTGCATGAATTTGCAGTAAACTATATTCATACAAAAGGATTGATTCCTAAGATTGTAACCCTCGTTTGAGCATTGTTTGTTTTTCTAATGTTCAGCCTTCATAAAGTGCAAATTAATGTGATTTTAAACACTGTTGTAATTCATAGAATGTAAATATTTTACATATTTGGAAATTGGGATGCTTCTGCAGTTTAATATCGATTTACATACTTATATGTGTATATTTGAGTCTTTTAAGTTCTAATATAGTATTTTTGTATGTTTCTTTTTCGGGTGGTGGGGTTTTTTTCTTTGCTTTTGAAAAAAAAAATCAAATTAAGTGACATGGTGTACCCTTTGCTCATTAGACCTGCCATTTCTGTTGCTCAGATACTACTTTTCTGTGACATGGGTAGTAGCAACCCCTTTTATTTATCTGTGGGTGTGTTACTGTGTCAGATTGGGTCAAGAATGTCCTTTAGAAGAAAACAGAGTCATCATCACCATGTGATGTGTGCTGGCTTGTGATTTGGGGTGGCCTTGCAGAGTACCAGAGAAATTAAACTAGAAATCATACCCTGGGAGCAGCCTTAGTGCAGTCCAGCTGCTAATAAACATTCAGGCAGTGTTACCAAATTACAGCTAGTCTGATATGAAAGCTGCTGAAGCACGTACAGTGTAGGTGTTGGCTTCTTAACACCGAGTACTTTATCCTCAGGTTGATCTGTGTTATGTTGCATGCCAATATTAGGTACAGCTGTTTAGAAATGCATCTCACTTTAAAGAAAAAAGTTGTTCTAGGAAACTGTTCACAAATGTTGTAACTGATGAAAATGTCTGTACAGAGTTTTGGAAGTGTTTGTTTGTTTATTTTTCTTTTCATGAAGTGCTGAAAAGCACAAGTGTTTTATTCTTCTCAAAATTCCACAGACTCCTAAGTGAACTTCAGCAGTGAGCTTCCTAAGTGAACTGAGATGTGAGCTTGCTTTCCTCTGCTGGTTTGTAGTCATGCAGCACAAGATAATCACTTTTTACTTACAAATTCTTTGATTTCTTACAATCTGGACTTGGGTTCTTCTGTTTATAGGGATTTAATATCACGCCACCTAGTAACGTAGCTGTGTTGGACATTCTTTAAGGTGTGTTCTCAATTCCTTATGCTGGTAACATGGAAGAGTCACTGAAGTAGCAAGTGAAAACCTTTCTCAGTGTTTCATTTAGATATTTATTTATTTATTTATTTAGAGAATACTGCTTGAGAAAATTTACCAGACAGTACCTCATACCTTGATGTTTCTATTTGTATAAAGAAAACTTATTGCAAAGCTTACTGTTCAGGGCAGAAAAGAGATTTGCTTACTGAGATACAGGTGGAAAAGGGAATTTAGATCTTGGTGGAGCTCCAGGAGAACATCTTGTCTCGGGTGCAGGTGTGACTTGTTTTCTCTCATACTGAGGAGGCTGGAGCAGGTCAGCTTCCTGACACGTGGCGTCAGTCACACAAGCAAGCACAGGACTGTGCTGCAACAGAAGCTGCTGGATAGTCCAAAGCCTGTGCCTGACCAGCAAAGTCAATCAGCAGGAGTTTATGATACTGACGTTCCATCTCCCTCAGATGCTGCTGAGTGTCCAGCCTTATCCACAGTGGAGGTTTTCCTGAGGAATCACTGCCAGTTTGAAATTGTTCTTGCTGATGAAGTTACCTGAGCTTTCTGACAGAGTCTGTGAGGACTTCGTGATACAACTAAAAGGATAACTGAGTTTGGTTTTTCCTTCACTCAAGGAATTTGTTCAAGAGCATTTTTCAGTCTTGCTGATGCTGGTTCATTTAAAATTTATTTCCTTATTCATGTTCTTTAAGATTTATTTAGAGCAAGAGAATAAATGCATCACTTTACCCTCACAATTAGCAAACTCATTTGGTTTTTGCTGCAGTAGATGATTGATAATATGATGTGAGTCAGGTTGACCATTTCCCATTCCACAGCCTCCTGTGGCATCATAGTTGATTGATATACACCTGGGTGATGTCTCAAATCCTGTTAGTCCAAAAAGGTGACATTTAATTTGTGTCTTAAAAGAGTTCTTCTTTGGGTACTTTGCTAAAATAAGAAGTTTTTTGGCAGTTTGATACTGCTGTCTTAATTTTATTTTGCTTTTTTTAAGAAATGTACACACATGCACACAAATGATTGGTTTGTAATGGTTTTGTTGAAGAAAAAATATTAAGCAATGTATTTATCTTTTTTGCCTATTTTTTTTCCATTTTAATCTGCTGGAATGGAAAACTGGCTGCTGTTAAAACCCTGCTTCTGATGTGCATGCTTGTAAAACTTAATTGCTGCAATTCAGACTCCAGAAAATATGCCCATTTAACATTGTGACAGATACCTGCAGCATTATATGCAACAGAGTTGTTTTGAAAAACATTGAAAACAGATCCATTATACTTCAGTGAATGTGCAATGTGCAAATATATTTTTCACCTAATTTGTTTACTGTCATGTCTTTTTGATTCATGTCATGTATATTGTTGCATGTGTGTTTGGCTCATATAGTCTGCTCCGGATGTCTTACAGAAGCAATTCTGAGAAAACCTCTTGTGCTGTTAAACACTCTCTACAGCTACTTCAGCTTTTTCTATGCCACAAAATTGCTGACACTTTGGATGAAACAAAATAGTACTTAAATCACGAAGGACAAAAATATTTTTCTCTTTGTAATCTTGCTTTAACTTTTAGTCATTTTAATTTTAACAGTTGTGAAAGAGCGGTAAAGCTCTCTGTCAAATGGTAGAATACAATCTAAAAACAGCATTTTATATGAAACCTAAGTCCTTGTGAAAATGTTTAGCCATCAATACTGCTATATACCACCTCAAAACTCATGCAGATTTTTTTCCAAATCAGTATTTTACTCTTGCTTTGACTTAGAAATGACAGCAGTATTTTCTGCCTTTCACTGCAGGTACTGTTCCTGAAAAGAAGAGGAAACATGGCTTATACACTGAATGAAGCTTAAAGTCCTGGACCGAAAACTGAGGGGTTTCTTCGTGAAGAATGGCAACACCATATGTTCCTGTTCCTATTCCTATTGGAAGTTCATCATCCAGCTTTACAAACAGAAACCAAAGAAGTTCTTCTTTTGGGAGCATCTCGACAAGTTCGAGCTCCTCCAAAGGACAGCTGGAGGACTGTACAATTGGTAGTTTTAAAAAGATGAGCGTGCCTGACCAGATTGGTTCTACGTCATCTGCATGTAGCAGTCCACTTGTTAGGACTAAATTTACAGGTCTGGATCCATCCATAGAATATTGTACTCAGCCTGTGGAAGAAATAGAGCAGAATACAGATTCCAGGAGCTGGGAAGATCGACCGTCCACGCCTACTATACTGGGCTATGAGGTGATGGAGGAAAGGGCAAAATTCACTGTAAGTTTTTGGGGATAGTATAGTTCATCCTGTAACTCTAAGATAACAATTGAATGTGCTTTGCATTCTTTTTTAGTAATTAATCCTGCAGTTCGGGGATGTTGGAGTGCTTTACTAGTTTAACAACTTAGCTTCAAAGTACTACCTGACAGGAAAGTATCATTCCCGTTACACAGGTGGAAAAACTAGAACTTGGAAGCAGTCTTTCCTGTAATTGTGTATATGTGGAATAGTAGGAATTCATTCTACTTTAGGTATCAATTTCTGCTGGAAAAGTCAGGAATTCCTTGCAGAGATACAATTCCTTGTGAAATTGAACTTGTAGGAGTTCTAAGTAGCTAAACATCTGAAATCAAATGTAGGTTTTTGTTTGAAACGAATTATAAGAAACCCTGATATTTTCCTTTTACAGTTATTAGTAGCTTCAAGTATTTGTATTGAAGTGCAAACACGTAGGTTTCAACTTCTTGCCCTGCTGAGTTCAGTCTCTAGTAAGGGGAAGTCTGTTCTGCAAACATCAGAGTGAGAAGTCACTTATGCCATATCTCATGCCAGAACACCAGCTTAACTGGTTTGTATTTATTTTTCTCAAAGTGTACTGTAGCTGGCAGTTCATTTTTTTTTTTACATGCCATAAATATCAACGCATTTCTACATTTGTTTTTGTACATGTGGCTGAAACATTTCTTTGAGATAATTCAGTAATGCTTGTGGGACTGATGCAAGCTGTTTGTTAGTGATTATTAATTACTTCAGATGACCAACATTAATCAGAAATAGACAAAATTCTTTTCCTTCCTCTTTTCTTTTATATTAGTGTGGAATCTAATGCCTTTATTGCAGTTAAAATACTAATGACGTCAAGTTCTTTTTGCAATATATTAAATAATGCTTCTTTTTCAGTATTTGAGAATGATAGCCTGTCTTTTCCTAAAATTTTTCATTTCTAACATGTTCATGCATGGTAGCATAGGAGAAGAGCAGAATTTTTTTTCACGTGTAGATTAAAAAATTCCTTTTAAAAAATAACCTTTAAAACTAAAGCAATTATTAATATTGTTATATGGACAAAGATTAGACTGAAAATATCACAGAATCATTTAGGTTGGAAAAGACCTCCAGGATCGGGTCCAACCTTTGATCACTGCAATTAGACAATTGACAATTAGACCATGGCCCTAAGTGCCATGTGCAGTAGTTTCTTGAACACTTCCGGATGACTTCCACCTCTCTGGGCAGTCCATTCCAAAGTTTAACAGCCTTTTCTGTGAAGGAATTCCTAACCTGATGTCTAGCCTGAACCTCCCTGGCGCAGCAAGAGGCTGTGTTCACTCCTCCTGTCACTCATTACCTGGGAGAAGAGGCCAAATCCCACCTGGCTATGTCCTCCTTTCAGGGAGTTGTAGAGAGCAATAAGGTCTCCCCTGAGCCTCCTTTTCTCCAGGTTAAACACCCCCAGCTCCCTCATCTGCTGCCTATAGGACTTGTGCTCCAGCCCCTTCACCAGCTCCATTGTCCTTCTCTGGACGCACTCCAACACCTCCATCTCTTCCTTGAAGAAGGAATATGTCAAAAATATGCCAAGGCATATTCCAGTGTGCATGTAAGGTCTCCTTCAGCTGTAGTTACAATGACTCTTTTTTTTTATACATAAGGCCAGTTGACAGTACAAGTGAAACACTCTTCAGTGATTAAAATGCTTGAATGCGTTTTTGCCCTTCCTGAATTCGCTTCTACTGCTGTGTTTGTTTCTGAAAACACGTAATTAACTGTTTGTTTTCAGTGGGATGTTGAAAATAAGCTTGCTATTGTGCATTAAGGCCAGCAAGTAATTAGTCCTAAAAATTTGGTTTGCTTCTGCAGTGCTAAATCAATAGGATGGAAGACAGTGGAAGTTAAATTGAGATCACCTGTAAATGAGAAGAGACTTAATTGCTAAGTTTGTTTTTTCACTGTTGGTAGCATCTCATTGTTGCCAAAAATATGAATCTGAACTACCTAAGCTGGATGATGTCCTAACGTCAACAGTTAGGTGTTAGTGCATGTTGGAGTGCGTGGCTGCTGAAGCTTATGTGACAGAAAACCTAGGCTGAAAAACATCTCTTTGTAAGCAGTTGGTCTCAAGTGGATTACCAGTCCTGGAATGTTCAATTAGCACTTTTTTTCTTTCTTTTAAGCCAAGTAGAAATGATAATGAGATGCTGAACTGGCCAGAGATTGCTACTAAATATTGGCATATTTTCATGGAATATTTTATATTTGTGGAATAAGGCAATTCATGATTGATTGGAATTAACTAAATTTGTTGAATTAATTTGTAATTTTTTCCAAGATCTTACATGAAGGAGTTAAGAGCTGGGTTTTTTAATACTCTAGTTCTGGTTTATTGATTAGTAATCTTTAAAATAAAAACTAAACAAAAAAAAATTTATTTTCAACTTATGGGGGAAAACCAAACATGTTTGGTTTGGATTGACTGTGTCTTTGGGAACCATTAATCACAAGCTGATTGCACTCCTTATTACACTTCAGTTGACCATAATTTGTGAAGACTTTAAAAAAAAAAAAATAAACAACTTGCCTAATGTTTACTTGGAAACCATTTAAAGTGAAGCTCAGACTAAATGAATTTTGTTTATGTGTGAATTTTTAAGCAATGCCTTTACAGAACTTTTAGTAGAATAAAAGGATGTAATAGAATACTGATTAGCAAATACTTCTGCAATAATATTCCAAAGTTTCTTGTTCTGTGTTTTACTGTGTACTAGCAAAGGGTCTTCACAATTTTACATTTCTTTCTTTATTTGTTTTATTTATGAAAATAAAACCATTTATACTTCTAGTGTGATCGGAAAGCTAAAATATTTGGACAAGCTTTTATACATAAAATGCAAGACAGAAGAATTACGTTTTAATGCTCTTTGTAGGCATGTCATACAGCTTGAATTATAAAAGATAATAGCTCTCTCCTCAGTCGCAATCCATGACTTCCAGAGATGATGTTACTTAAAAGTGAAATTCTGTGTTTAAAACATAGATAAGTACTTGCTGAAAAATTGCTATTAATTTGCACTGTAGTTATCTGTAGTTTCTGTAACTGTTTGCTACTTAATGTATTATAGCATACAAAATTGCTAAAACCAGTCTCGCACATGTACAGAGGCTGGCAACCACAAGGGTTATCGTGTTGCGACTGCAACAAGAAAAATACATTTATCAGCTAAGAAAACCTGCTGTGAAAGCATGAAATACTGGAAAATATTTTACTGTGTAACAGATTAGAAAATATAGATATTCATACTAGAAAATATAAGATTTTAAATAGAACTTGGTTAAGTGCCTGTAAGGGATTTTTTTATGGTTACTATTTTAATATCTTTTTCTGTGTAGTTTTTTTTTTTTTTTTTTTTTAAACTAGAGACGTGTAGACTGGGAACACTAACCCAGTACAGTTGCAGAACCTTTCTTTCCTTACCTTGGAGAAAGTAACGTTATGACAGTAGACACTGTTTAATGTTTTCTAGTTGAAGTTATGTTGTCAGATTCATTGTGTTCGGGCATTTGAGTATTAGTCCTCCTAAAAAGTAATTGTTTTATTTTTTTGTTTGATTATTGTTTTGTTTATTTATCCATTTGCTTTTGAATAGGAGTATAGTACTGCTGGGCTATTGTGTTGCTAAATCTGATTCAAAGGATCATTTCTTCAGCTATATATGGTGCCAGTATAATCATTCTGATGCAGTTATCAGAATGAAATCATATTTTACCTGGAAAGACAAAACCTAATTTTCGAGACAAATGCAACCAAAGGAGGATATAATTTTATTCTGCTTCACTTTTCCTTGTGAAGTGAGTCAGATGAGACCTTTTAAAACAATATCACAGTACCTTATTATTAACAGTCATCTTAAAAACAGATTGCCTTCAGTGAATAAATCAATGAATAAAACTATAATTTAGCAAAGGTTAAAGTAGATCCCTAAAACATACTTCCTTTACCTCTTTGATAGCTGAGACTTGTGTTTTGCAGGAGAACAAATTTGGGTACAGTTTCACAGACCCTTTCTTAGAGACAAAAATAGTTAAATATATTTAGGAATTGCAGTAACTCGCTTTCTTAAATTCTGAAATTAATTTATACTGTTTGTACTGATAATTAAGTTATTTTCTTTTAATAGATTTTCTTTTAATCTATTAAGAATTTTTTTTAACCATGAATTTGTTTCCTTAAGAAATAAAGGATAATTTCAACCTTCCAGAGAATGCACTGTGATATTCCTGTCTTTCTACACAGGTATACAAAATACTGGTAAAAAGAAGTCCAGAGGAAAGTTGGGTAGTTTTCAGACGATACACTGACTTCTCCAGGCTTAATGACAAGGTGGGAATTTTATACACTGTTAAATTCTCAGCTGTCATGCCTTACTCTCCTTTCATGTCTCATTTTCTTTGTCTCTCACGTTTTTGTCACTTCCGAAATCACTACACCTTATATAAAGAAGGTGTAACAGCTACATCTGAAGCTTAATGTGCTTCAGACTTTGTATTTGTTCTTAGTCTATGTGGTAAAGGAAATTAACTCTTCAATATTTATCCCCTGCGTGGCAATAGAACTAGGGACTTGTATTCTCTTGCAGGAATGATCCAGTAATTATTCAGTCCATTTCTACCTAACAAACTCTACTTTTTTCATGATAAACCTGAAGTTTCACAAAGCTCTTTATGTGTTGGTCAGTCTTCAGTTGCTTTCAATGTCTTCAAAGTTAATTGCTAAATACTATATGAGAACTTTAAAGATGGAGATAATTAGGAATTCTGGGTCAGCAACTCAATATTTTAAGAACACTTGAAAGCAAAAAATTCTTGTCTGAAAAACAGAAGTTTTTATTATTGTTAAATTGTACTTGGCAACCGAAAGTAGAAAAACAGAATTACAGTTTTCTTTTTCCACTCTTCACTCCTAAGAATAATCTTCCATTGCCAGTTTAACATATTTTCTGCTATTATGTTCTTTCATGTTTCAATTTGTAACCTTTATAACACTCCTTTACCAATGGTAAGGAATTTTTTTGCATGCCTTATCTGCTTTGATTTATGTGCCCGTTCTGCTAAGAACTTAATTGAGCTGAAATTTTGAACATGAACTTGAACTTACACATTTCTCTGTGTTCTTGGTTTGACATGCTTATTTATCTTCTAGGCTACCTTTAAAACATAAGTGCAGTCTGAAACAAAATTGTTGAATGTTAATTAGTTTACAGACTTCTTTTTGAAGAAATTTCCATCTTTTTAGATAGCCCTAAATGAAGGAATGTCTTGGTAATCACAAAAGCATGACTTCTGTTGAGATGATGATCTTGGTATTTCAACTCAAATTTTGGAAGTCACATCATACAGCAGTTTGTATCTTGATCAACTGTGTCCAGTATAGGTCAAGAATTGAGTGCATTGAATGCTATTGTGGTTATCAGTGTTTTGAAAAATTAAAATGCCACAGGTATTAATTTTAGAATAAATATTTTGATTTTACAAGTGAAGTCCTTAGTCTTTGACATCAAAACTTTGACAAAAGTGTTTGGCTTCTAGCATGATTTCTAGGTATGAGGATTTCTGTTTAAAAGGAAAATGTTTATTTTTTCCTTGGGTCACTGTCTGAAGCTTTTTCATCTATCAGTATACATCTAAAGTTTTATTATGTTATTTTTCTGTAATTCTCTAGAATGTCCAGAATGATGATATGTTTCAGTTCCCAGAGCTGGCGTTTCTGTATTAGAAAAAGCATAGTGTCTTACAGACCAAAGAGTAAATGGTTGTATGCAAGCATCAGTCATTAAAAGGCACAGAGCAACACTTGCAGCTCTTTGTTCTCTAATGACAAATATAGATGTGCAGTGGCATGCATGTAAACTTCTGAGATTTTCTGTACCCTTTCTCCTAGAAATCCAGCATAAGCAAAACACATGCACTATCTTGAAAGTCCTTTTCTCCACCACCCTTCTCAAGGTTGGTGGCAAGTTATTAATTCCCTGAAATGGTACTAGAAACTTGGCATTAAATGCCAATTGAACTGAATAATCAATCACTGTGATTGCTGTGTGAATCAGTTTGAGAGGTTAACATAGCAGGAATGGCCTCTCAGGAAAACCAGGTAAAGACAAAGAGCACTAAGTTTTTTGTATGTGTCAGGTATATACTTATTCATGAGTCCAAACTGAACTGAGAGTTGGACTTCAGCAGTTGCTAAAAATGGAGAAAAGGTGAGAGTAGATACAGTGTCACAATGGGGGCATGTGTAGATAAAATCAGGAGTAGATGAACAAATACAGCTCAGCTAACTAAAAAAAAAGGGAGTTACTGAACTTATAGTAATAGCATTCTTTATTTGCCCTGATCTCTTAAAGAACATAACGAAGGCAAAATAGCAGTAGGATCCTAGAAAGTGTTTTGTACTTTAACTATTTTCTGAAATATTTTTAGTAGGGAACAGCTAATAAAATAGAAATGAAGTAAAAGAGCTCAAAATCATTAACTCCCCTTTTATGAATGAAATCAGTAAGTACAGCAACGAGTTAAGACCTGAACAGATTTCAAGTGAGGAACAAATTCTTTGAATGTCAAAGTTGTCTACTTTCCAGGCAATGAAAAGGTTATGAAAACTCCATAACTACTGAAAGAAGACAAATAGAAGATGATGGCAAAGGAAACATAAGTATGGTTACACAAGAGGCCACATAATGATCTCAAAGTCAAAAGTAATTAAAAAATATACAAGGTTAGTACAAGGAGGGTAGTACAGACTTCTGAAGACTAAGATGAAAGGGCTGAGATGCAAAGTGGACTGACATGGGATGCTAACAGCAATGAGAAAAGTATTATAAATCATTAAAGACAGAAGTAATGGAAAGAGACAATAAAATAAGAGATCCATTGTTTGACAGCAAACTATGGAAAGCAAATAGTAAATGTTACAGCAAAACTGTAATAGTGTCTTTTGCCGTATTATTAACAAAAATTTAGTCTTAGTGGTTGTTGGAACATGCTAGAATGAGAGGTTAGGAGCAAAGACTAAAATGCAGACATTTGGCTAGATGCTTAGGGTTTGTTTGTTTATAGCACCTACTGGATTGGAGAAGTGTGAGAAGTACTTTGATCCCAAAGAACTATGAGAAAAGAACTTTCTAAAGTTTGTTACTGTGCTGGTAGAGATGTTGAACAGATAATGAAATGATCAATCTTAAGAACCAAAAAGTTAACCACTTTTCCCCAAGACTGCCTCATGTGAGGTGCATAATGTATCACATGATGATGTTGGAGAGAGACAAGTAGGAAAGGTGCTGGATACAAGGAAGCAATCATGGCCAGAATAACTTGTCTGACCTTCCTGCTGTGTCTGAGGAGTGTTCAAGAAAGAATGCCCCAGGAGCGTGCTGTTGAAAATTAGTCTGCTGACAGCAGCTGGCTTTCTCATATTCCTCATCCACAAGAGTAATCTGTGGGTAGGCATACTCTTTCCTTAGAAATAAATTACATGATCTGTGTGACCAGACAAGTGAAATTACCATTAAGCAGAAATCTGTGTGGTTGAAAAGCTTTCCCAGCAATGGTTATCTGCGGTCTTCTGTACAACTAACACAGGAACTCATTTTGTTATATTCTCTGGGTTCAGTTCTTTTCAGTATTTTATCAACTTAAGAGCTGTTATGGAACGTAGAAGATACTTATATATGTGGTATTTATGATTACTTGGTAATAGATGAAGGAACTGCTGATGACCAAAGATAAACTTAAAAATATCAAGAGGAATCTAATATCGAGATGAAATTCAGTAAGAGGAAAACATACACTTAAATAATTGAATGCAGAAGTAAAGAGCAAGGCTTTGATGGTAAATTATTCATAAGAAACTTGTATTTATCATGGGATATTTCAATATACAATACTTGTGATGTTTAAAAGGTACCCTTCTTATGCTGTGAAATGGTACTTACATGAGTAAAGGTGATCCATTAACGTGGTTCTTCCTTGAAACTGTGTAGAGAGATTCTATGTGAAATGCAGTATCTGTAAAAACTTAATCTGCTGAAAAAGCTACCTGTTAGACATTTTCTGTGAGTCCATAAAGAGTAGTTAAATAGATAACACTTATTGTCAAAAGGTTTAAATTTTGCTCAGCAAGGATCTGGACACCCACTGAAGAATTACACTGCAGCTTCGTAAATGCTGAGTGCTGAACTGTTTTCAAGGCAGATTCTAAAATCCCTGCCACTGCAACATTCATGTGAATATATTAGGTGTATGCAGTACATCTCTGACGAAAGTTGTCTTGATCCTGTATTTAGAAAAAAGATTAAACAATTCTTGTGGCAGTTGGGATATCAGATTTTGTAAAATTAGTTTGCATTTTCCTGCTGGTTGTAAGTCTTCCAAGATTTTTCTGTGTCAAGCATCCCTTCTTAGAAAAGGCTTCAAAAATTGTTTTTTATGGAACTGTTAGTGGTTTTTTTGATAGTTAAACATATTAGAAAAATAATTGGCATCTTTGGATAAGTCCATTATAATATAGTTTCATGCTTCCATTCCCTTGAATATTTAATTTCTGAATTAAAAAAATTCTAGATATTTTTAATGTCAGCTATACCCCATTGCTATTTCAGTAACTCAGTACAATTTTGCATGTTACTACTGGGGTTTGAACTATACATGCATATTGAAATTTTAATATATTCTGGGTGTACAGAGAGCTACTTTATACTGTAAGTGTCTTAGGCAAGTTTTGTAATTTAGTGTGCTAGCTCCCCAAAAAAGACAAGTTGCAGAATTGTAGATCTGTAATGGAGATAGATAGATAGATAGATAGATAGATAGATAGATAGATAGATAGATAGATAGATAGATAGATAGATAGATAGATAGTACTTATTGTCCCTGAGTACTTTGGAAGAAACACCACTGAAATGCTTACCCATGTGATAACAAAGCAAAGGTTTTCATTCCCGTTTTTATCTTGTAAATTTGAGAGGTCATTGGATTGAATAAGGCAACACAGCAAGTGACATAACTGTGTCCACAATTTATGCTGTAATTTGAATTGTACTTATGGTTGAGACTTACCTTGTGCTTGAACTTAGCGGAAGTCAGAAAGGTCTTGTAATTCTGAGTAAAGTCAGTGCACTCTGTGTCAAAATGAGTATTTTGACAAGACTCTTTTCTTGGTGTTTTGTTGCTTTGTTTTTTTTTTTTTAATTGGCTTTGATTTCGATTTCAGCTAAAAGATATGTTTCCGGGCTTTCGGTTGGCCCTTCCACCAAAGCGCTGGTTCAAGGATAATTATAATCCTGACTTTTTGGAAGATCGACAGTTGGGACTGCAAGCATTCCTCCAGAACCTCGTAGCTCATAAAGATATTGCTAACTGGTACGTGATTAAACTTTGCTTTTGCATTTGGTTTTTTTTTTTTATTTTCCAAACTGCTCTTACCAACTCCTAGACTCTAGCAGTGTGTATTTGAGCAATGTGGTAAGGGATTTAATTAGCATTCATTTTGTGCATTTGGTCATTATGTGAATTATTTAGTGTCCTTTTAAATTAATCTTATCTTAACATAAACAAAAGAGAAGAATTGCAGTATTTTGAATTGTACGTGGATAACTACTAAAAGTTGTAATATTTAAAATGTTAGACTAATCCCATATTTACTCCTAAAACATTACTTCTCTCTGCTTAATGTGGAATTGATATATTGTTAATTTGTACTAGGATTAAAAGTTATGCTTTCATAGTGGAAAGTACCTACACTGTTATGGAATCGGTTCTTAAAATGAAAATACAGGTTTTTAACTTACATGATGCAATGATAATAGGAGTAGTCTGTAGGTTGCTACATGTAAGTAGATTGAAACCACAAAAAAAAATTTCTGAAGAGTTTAAAAAACATATGTTTAATCAACAAAGTCTTTTTGAGCAGTATCTTTTTTCATACAAAGTGGGAGATTCTTCCAAAGCTGGAAGATGAATAGAGCATAATTCTGGCAAATTAAGTGTAAAATCATTTTAATACAGGCCAGAAGAGAACTTGAGTAAGCAGATTGCTAGATGCAGAGCAGTTAGTTCTAAAAACTTTTTCCAGCAGCAGAAATAAAAAAGTTGAGGTTATTGTACCAGAGATTTTGTGAGGAATGAGTCTGAGGATGTATCATCTGAAACCTCATTCAAAACAAAGAATAAGAAATTTGCTAAAGCAAACAGCATTGCCTCAAGAATTTTAAAGGAACTAAAATGTAAAATTACCAAGCTGTAGTGTGAGACCATATAATGCTTATATCTACTTTACTTTTTAGTAGAAGGGCTATTACTACTTTTGGCACATTTTTATAAGGTGTTTGACTGCTGAGTCTAGAAACTAGAGATTCATATATAAGTCTGACTTTTGGTACTGCTTAAAATAAAAAAACCAAACAAAGTGGTTAGCAGGTCAATAACAATAATACTTGAAAAAGCACTATTGTCTTTTGTAGAGGGAAATCTAACAAGCAAATAGTTATGACAAGGCTTGTATAGAATGGTTAGAAGACAAGGGGAAAAGGATTGATGGAAATTTAGGAGCATTACATGTGGAAAGCTAGATCACAGTTATCGACACATGTTCAGGAACATCTTGAAATTATCTGGAATATGGAATGAACAAAGAGATCGTGACCTATTATGGAAGAATCAAGAGGCACTGAGTGACTAATATTAATTTTCTTGTCTTGAAGTACAAAATGACAGCAACTATATCTATGCAGATTTGTAAACTGTTTTTTACAACCTGGAAAATAACTATTGGTACTGATATCACTGGTTTTCTGAATCAGTTCAATATTCAGCAATAGTCAAAAATTTTCTTTAAAATAGTCAGAGGAACTTAAAAGGGGAAACAAAATTATTGCTGTGGGAATCGCAATTGTATTTCCACATAGTCCAGTGGTAAAACATAGCATTCAGTTTCGAAAGAGGTGTCTGCTAGAGGTACAGAGAAAGCAAACAACAGATGAAGTTACAGGAAAATTTCCCTGCAAGAAGAGTTCTTTTCTCTTTAGTCTGTTGTCTTGGGTAAGAGCTGGCTAAACAAGGCATGTGAAATCATCAAAGGGGATAGGGAAGGTGAGTAAAGAATGTTAATATTTAGATGATTCATAGTCATCTTGCAGTATGTCACACTGAGTGGTGAAGCTTTGTTACGAGATGTCAAAGACAAAGCTTAAATGGTTTCAAAAAGAAATTGAGATCAACCTGTGAACTTCTGTGTCAATGGCTATTAAATATAATTATGTGGGTGAAGTATGCAACCAAGCAGTTTAAGAACTTCCTGATTGCTAAATTACTTAATTATAGGTGTGCCAAAAAAAAGGAATTATTCTCTGATATTCCCTAAATGTCACTTGTGTTATGCTGCTGGAGACAGACTAGTGGGCAGAACAGACTTTTAGTCTACTTGAATGGATCTGAAGGCTTTGTGCTTCATGTTGTTACAGCTAGTTTGGTACTTTAACTAGCTGGTTTATATCATAATAATGGAACATGTTGGACAAAATACTCTGTCATAATTTAAGGCAAAAACCCAAACCAGAACTTACAGACTGCATTGCTCCTAAGATACAAAAAGGAAATGTTTGTGGAATCACTTCGTTTCTGGCTAATGAACAGATAGTTGCCTGAAATGTGACATTGGGAATTCTGATCTTGGCTGTGTAAGACTCTTCATAGAGATGAAGTTTTTTAAGAAACTTTATATCCTATGGATACAGGTTGTAGTCTAATATAACCTATGGAAGGTCTGAATTCCTCAGGAGGTGATTATAAGTAGTGAGGTTTGATCTATCTTAATATTTGTACCCACTTATCACAGAATAAAGGTTACTGTTAATGGAAATTAGTATTTGCACCTCACATGAGCAGTGGTGAGAATCTGACCATGCTTTCTCCTTTCAAGTTCACCATTTACTTCTACAGTTTTGCAAATAAGTCAAAATGCTTCGGTCACACCAAAAACAAATGAACCTTTTGTCTTTGTAGAGAAGTCTCTTTATTTCTCTTTGTGTTTTATGTGCTTTATTATCATTGAGGCACTGACAGTAGGAATTTTGCCCTTCAGGGATAGGAGACCTCATTTGGTTATACCTATTTTTTGATAAAACTAGAGTCACAAAGTAATTTAAAGATAAAATGTAGGATGGTGTGAAGGGGAGAAAATTTAGCACCTGTTTTATGGATTTCTTCTCATATTTTGCATTGTATTAAAGTTTTAGTGAAAGATCAGATTGAAATTCTCCCAGAGTCTAATGTGCTCAAGAAAATGTCCTATAACTCATGAAGTGGGAGAAAGAAGTTTAACCTGCTGAACAGAAGTGTCATTTATAGAGATGACACAGCTCTCCTGCCCTCCGCCCTGTATAAGAAGTTTGGTCAGCTTTGAGTCAGGGATCCAGTGTGCCACGCTGCCCCGATGCTGGCATTGCTGCCTCTCTGGAGAGGGGTGTCAGCCAGCACGTGAGCGAAGAAAGAAGCCGTGTACAGGAAGCTCTGCCAAATGTGACACAAAAGATTTCTGTGATACTTTTAAGGCAGTCTTCTGTTTATTAAATGAAAGAGGTGTAACACGTGGAGGGGAAAGCAGTGTCAGAGCAGACTGAGTACAAGCTCGGTTGCAGATAAATGTTTATGCCATCAGGTGCATATTTTAGCTAAAGAAACAATGTTTTAGGTGACCTGTGGCTTTAGGCTTCCTGACCTCTTTATGTAAAATAATGAATCTACAGCTTTCGATTTCAAGTAGTTTTGAAAACTGTAGAAAAAGACACAATTTTCTGCCAGCAGCCACAGGGAAAGCAGAAAAGTATGACCTGATCTAAGTAGATGATATATGTAGGTTAGATATTTTTTACATTTATTTTTCTGGGTATTTTGGTTTTCCCTTACAAGCATTACTATATGTTATGCCATGTTAATGTTACATTTTAATATCTCAAGAAAATTACTGAATACTTTTAAAATATGTTTGAGCTGCACATGTGAATAAGGATTAAGATGCTGAGGAAAAGTGGTTTCTCCACATAATGAGTTCTTCTGTACTGGGCAAATATGAGTTCCTGCAGCGTCTTAACAGTTGAATTGTTCTTTTCATTTAAAAAAATGGACTTGAGCATCATGTCAGAAAAGGGTCAACTCAAACATATTAAACTATTTGAAGAAGGGGGAAAAAATCAACCCTGCTCTTCTCCTTGAAGTGTACTTTATATGCCTGAATAACTTTCATTTGGTTTCAAGTTATGTTTTCTAATCATTTCCCTGATGAATTGCTGCCAGTTATCATTTTTTGTGCTAATTGCAGTGATAATCTTGGTTAAGGTGGCAGAATTTTTCCTTATTTATTTGAGTACATGAGAGAAACTGTTTTAATAGTACAGTTTTAGGCTTATGGCTTGCACAGATCACGGACTGATAATTAAAACATTTGTCACATAAATTTAACTAGGGAAAGGAATGATCATAGAGAAGGAAAAAATTCAGTTTGGTGTAAAGGCTGATGAGGTAAAAGTAGATACAAAGATAAGATTTCTCACCAACCTTTGGCCACCTGTTTCTACACATACGCAATAAGTGAAAGCAGACTTACAAAAATCAAACAACAAAATAAGCATTCAGTGTAGTTTAGATAAATATTCTTAAGAGCCTTTTTAGAACTAAAAGTGATGCTATAATCAATGATTAGTGTTTGAAGAAATTTCTCCTCATTTTGCTTACCACACCTGAAGTTTTTTTATTAGATTAGTAGCTGGGTGAAAGTTTCCTTTCTTGTGTTTGTACTTTGTGTCTACCTCAAATGCAGAGAATGAGTGGAAGGCAGAAAATTACTGCCTTTTGCCCCCACGTTTCCCTGGGATGAAGGAGGTGGGAGGAGGAGACAGGAAATTATATTTAGATTCATATCTTCCATTTCTGTGCATTCATTGCAGTAGGATTTAAAGTAGTGAGTACAAGCAAAGCATTGCTCATGTTAATACTTGCTAATTAATTGTGAATACAGTGTTCTGATTGGAGGTTATTTGTAGAAGAATGAGTACAACCAAGCAGGAAAGTCTTAAAAAAGGTGGATGAAGGGGTGTGTTTGGGAATGTTTCAGTTCTCTGAGAAGTAGTCTAAACTTGGAAGGTAGAATGAGCAAGATGCTTGAAATACTCTGTAGTAAACCACAGGATTACACATACTTCCTTCTTCTGACTTTTGCAAAACAATTCACAGAGGGGGATGACAGCTGTTACACAATTCTAAGTGGAATGCATTAGTTTAAAATGTATGTCTAGAGATGGCTGTGTAGTATATCCATGACACATTAACTTTGTCTCTTATTATTTTATAACTTATTCTTTTTATAAAAATTATTTACTATCTGTATAAAAATATGTACTGTGTATATGTCAGTGGATTATGATCTTAGCAAAGTGGAGACAGGTGGACATGATTCAGTACTGATGCTTAGTTCCCATGATACTACCTGAAGGGATCTGCATATGGACATTAACAGCAAACTTTTTCATCCATATTATTTATTTTTCACCAGGGGAATTTTTCATACATCTTCAATACCAAAGTGATAAACTTGTCAGTTGTCATGTAGTAACAAATTGTATTAAAATTTAAAACAAACAAACAAAAAACCCCCACACACAAAAACCAACAAAAAAAAAAACCAACAAAAAACAAAAAAAAACCAAAAAAAACAAACAAACAAAAAAAAACAAACAAAAAAAAACACCCAACCAAGAAGCCACACACACACACACAAAAATCAAACCACAAAATGATGTTCTAAAACTGCTTACTCATCTTTGTAAGTTACATTTTAAATACTCTTCCTGGTCAACACATACAACTGAGACTTAATACTTTGTTAATATTATTTCGCCTTCTTGGGGTTAAAATTTGAGGCTAGGTGTTTGTGTCCCTTAAAGAAATACTTCCTTTGTATGATCATATTTGTTATTGCTGGTTTTGTACTTCAGTAATTCACTCTCTTTTATTTGGTAAAGCCTTGCAGTGAGAGAATTTCTTTGTCTGGATGATCCTCCGGGTCCTTTTGACAGTCTAGAAGAGAGCAGGGTAAGTGCTAAGCAATAGGATAAAATCAGAATGCAAAAGGCAGTTGTTATTAGAATATTGTAAGATCTGTTGCATGGTATAGAATGAAACACTTCTGTTTCTGTTCTTTCACAAAAATCCCAAAATACTGTCTTTATGAAATGGGTCCAGTCTGGTTAATGGTGCATGCTGATCGTCTTTGACTGCTGTACTTCATCCCTGTCCCAAAATATATCGTCTTCCTTTTTGTCTTTTATGAGCTGGGGGTGAAGTTTGTTTTTTAAGGCAATTGCAAGTGCTTATATAAGGGAACCACTGAATATAAGGAGAGATTTTATAAGTTTACATTCAGCACATTGTTACAATGCTTATGCCTTGGACTTCAGGTTTTGCAGTGAAATGCTTCTTGCTATAAAATGATACAATAGTTTGGGTTGGAAGGTATTAAAGATCATCTAGTTCCAACACACCTGTCGTGGGAAGGGACACCTTCCCATGTAATGAATGTAATGACCACCAAAAACAGTATTCTTGCAGCAAATTAATTAGTGACAAGTAGCTTTGTAAAACAGCAGCCTTGCAACATGCATATGAGCACATTGAACAAATAATACTGTGTGCTGCAGCCTATTTTATTAGAAGTAAATTTCATTGGCATGCAGAGCTATATTGAGTCTGCCTAGAATAGATGATGTTAGTTTTCTTGCTTTACAGAATAACTGTGTTTTAGAATTGTACATACATTGTTAGTCTCGTAGAAATTATGAATGTTAAGTGATGCTCCTTCAACTAAACTTATATTTACCAGTTTGTTTTGTATGTAAGTAGGAGTGCCTTGGCTCTTGTTACATTACTATGTGCGTGTTTTTTGTCACAAGCTCATATTTGATTTCTGTATAATCACTTTTCATCATTGCTATTTAAGCTGATGAAAATTTTAAAAAATTACTGTAATTATTTGTCCACATAATTAAAAAAATCTAAGTGCCACCTTCACTGAAATTTCGATAATGCCTACTGTGATGAAGTCTCAGTGTTAATCTCCCACCATAAAAATTTAATCAAACCATTAAAATAGCTGTATTCTGTTATTAGAGACAGCTCTTAAACTTCTGCTCCCCCAAGGGACACTCCACCTCTTTACAGAGTGATTGAAGTTGGAAGGGACCTCTTGAGATCATCTAGGCCAACCCTGCTGCTCAAGTAAGGTCAGCTACTGCAGGTTGCCTAGGACCATGTCCAGTCAGGTTTTCAGTATTTTACAGAGGAGACTTCACAACCTCTCTGTGCAACCTGTTCCGGTTTTGGATCACCATCACAGTAAAAAAGTGTTTTCAGGTGTTCAGATTTCCTGGGTTTTAATTTGTGCTCTTTGTCTCTTGTCCTGTCAGTGGGCACCACTGAAAAGTATCTGTCTCCCTCTTTTGAGTCCCTCCCATCACGTGTTTATACCCATGGATAAGATCACTCCAAGCCTTGTCTTCTCCAGACTAAAGTCTCTCAGCTTTCTCTTCCTTTTACCACATGAAAGATGCTCAAGTCCATTAATTATCTTTTATTATGGTATTTGAATCATGAGACCTGGAGTTCTGGTAGACAAGAAGCCAGCACTCTTAGCACCCACAGGTGCAATCTGTCAGGCCCTATGGACTTGCATGTTCAAGCTGTTTAAGTGCTCCCTGACCTGGTCCTTCTCCACTAAGGGTAGATTTGTCCTGCCCTTCCTTATCTTTTCCTCTGGCTGCAGAGGTCTGGAATTACTGAAGGCTGGTCTTTGCCAATCAAGACAACAGGTCCATGGTTCCCCTCGTCTTCCTTTTGTTGATTATGTATTTGTAGAATCCTTTCTTGTTTTCTTTGCTAGATTCAGCTCCAGGTTGTCCTTTACTTTCTTAACACTGTTCCTGTAAGATCAGACAACAACATTTTGTTCTTTCTGGGTCACCTCTCCATGCTTCCACCCCTAGTACACTTACTTTTTATATGTCTGGTCAGTTAGGAGTTCCTTGCTCATCCATACAGGCCTCCTGCAACCTTTGCTTGATTTCATACTTTTTGAGCTCTACCTACTGACCCAGAAGGTGGTGATCCTTAAATATCAACCAGCTCTCCTGGAATATTCTTCTCTCCAGGGTAGTTTCCCATGGATTCTTTCTTCCAAGCAGGTTTCTGAAGAGACTGAAGTCTGTTCAACCTAAAATCCATGGTCATGGTTTTTGCTTCTGGCTGTTAGGAGCCTGAACTCCTGCCAAATACCAAAAGTATCTTATATTCCTCCCATGCAGTTTGTTGTTTTTCTTTTCCTAAACTGCTTAACTACAGGAAAAGCACTAAGGTTCTTGTATTTATTCCTGGAGTTCATTTTTAAAGGTATCTCAAAAATTACTTCTGTTTTGCCTTACTATTTTCATACAAAGCATTGCCAGGAAAAAAATCTTCTGTCACTGTTTTCCTGATAATGGAAATATGGATATCTTCTATTTGGTTTATGTCCTATTATCCCAGTTCCATAAGGACTTGCTAAAACATATTTATCTTTTTAGAGGGAGGGATACAGGCATATCCTCTATTAGAGGCTAATTAGACTTTACAGAAATTTAATCACAGAAAAGTAGACAAAATACTCACTAAAACAATCTTTTTTGTCATATCCTTGGTAGTTGTGTGCACAGATCCTTTCCCAGCCATCTGTGTTTCATGATCCACTGAAGAAGGAAGCAAAGCTGTCTTCCCAGCTGGCTTAGTTAGTTCTGTTGCCCTTTCAGAGCTACAGGGAAAATTGGTCCAACCTGGGTGTTAGAACTGTCCCAGACTCCAGGTTTGCAGCTATTTAAAGAGCAAGATATCTCATTACACATCATTATTCTCTTTCTCAGCTTTGGTTCACCTTTCTGCTATTACAGCCTCCTTCAGAATATGTTGATGTTTTCTTACTCATTGAGAACAGTGACTTCTTTCCTTGGGCAGCTGATACCCAGATTGCACTGGAGATGAGTTTTTCCAAAGGGCTTTGTTAATTCTCATACAGAGCAATAAAACAGTTTACAACACTCATGCAGTATTTTTAGCTATTTTGTGAATAGGGAAATTTTCATGCATGTAAATATAAAGGTAGAAATAATATAACTTCATTATATTCTTAAATAATGGCCAGTTTTGAGCTAGGGGTCAGCAACACTGAATATTTTTATAAAATACAGTAAAATTTGTTTAATTGGCTTGGATGAGACAAGATGACTGCTTAATTGGAGTGATAGCTAAAGCAATCACTGCAAATGCTGTGTGAAGGGTAAATTGCATGCCACATGTTCTTGGCTCTAGTAGACATGAATAAAATTGTGATTTAACTGATGACTGGTCTTCAGTGTCTCAACAAAGATAAATTTCTTACCTGAATCAATTAAATAAGTTAAAATTCAATGAAAAAATATGGTCAGTTGGATTGAAAAACTCTGCATTTGTTTAAATTGTACAATTACAGGAAAACTTAACATTTTGAGGATGATGAATCTGCTTCAATTAAAGCCAAGGATAGTATCTTCTTGATGTTAGTAGCCTGTTTTAAAACTTTAGGAAAACAGTGTCTTAACAGCATTGTTCTTAACTGAGCTCCTATAAAATGTTTACATTTGTCGGACTCTGAATTAGTGGCTGGTTGCAGGTAATGTTAACCCAGGAAAGCCCACATGGGATTTTTACTTACTGAGAACATGTAAATTATTAAATCAGAATTGCACAGTACTGCTGCAAGACTTGTGCTTTCCAGTAATAGATGAGCAGGCTCTGTGCCAAGGCTTCTGTCACTTCCTGCATTCAGTGGATGTTGCATTAGACACTGGCTCATCACGTTAAGTTTTGAGATTGCTCATTGACAAATCCATCAGGCTGTACTATAAATACATGTCATGCTCAGCAGAGGAGCACGGCACGTTTGTGATGGCTGAGTAGTTGGTGTTCACAGCATTCCATTAAACTTCTTCAAAATGTTTCTGTATTGGTCTTCTGACTCTCATGATTCCATAGTTGTAATGGGTGTTTGGTACAGAACTGTACAGCTTTGTCTTTATCTTGGGTAACAAACATGTACTCAATCCAAATATTCTTTGCATCGTCAGAATAATTAGATACTTTCCAAATCATGTGGAAGCAAAGCTTCAGGGGGAGGAAAGGGAGCAGGGAGTTCAGTTTATGTTCTGTATAGGCAAGAATGTTCAAAATCAGGCACTACTTTTCTAAAGTTTCTCTTTAGAGTTTTGTGAGACAAATGATGTGATAAAATATTTGCATTGCAGCTTAGTATAATAAATTCACTGTTCAAAGCAGCATTATTTTATTAAGGACAGAACTTTTTTTAAAATGTACATAGCTTTTTATAGTAATCAGCCTGAAGAAAAGCAGCTACAATTCTGTTACAGGTTGGTATTTCTAAAAGAAAATAAAATAAAGGCAGTCCACTGAAGCTAAATTGAAGACGCTCTTAAATTTGTCTTTTAGGCTTTCTGTGAAACTCTGGAGGAAACAAATTACCGCCTACAAAAAGAATTGCTTGAAAAACAAAGGGAAGTTGAATCGCTGAAGAAATTGCTAAGTGAAAAGCAACTTCATATAGATGCTGTTGAAAGAAGAATTAGGTATGTTGAAATTTTATGGGGTTCAGGAGTTTATCTCCATAAAAGTATTTTCTCTATCTAGTCACAAGCACCAGCTTTAGATACATTCTTAGAAAACATTTTGCCTACATAACCACACAAAGCAATATCTTCAGTAAGCTCTTTCTCATATGCTGGCTAAAAGTTATTTAGTACAAATGACTGAGAAACTTGTCCTATCTTTTTCCTTTACAGTAACTTTGATTGTTTTCTAGTCCTTTAAGTTCTGTAAAGATAGAGCAAGATTCTCTTCTGCTTTTGAAATGTTGGAAACATGAAATGCCCTGCTAGAGATGAGAGGAGTGGAAAAATTGCTTTGAGTTACAAAATTCTCCCTGTACTCAAAGCTTTGACAGAACATAGTGATCAAGCAATTACATGTCTCTATTAATGTCTTTACCTTTGTTCTGAATTGCCAGAAGTGATGCTGAAGGTAACGTAAATAGCACTGGAGATTGTCCATTTAAACCCAAGGAAAAAATGGTGGAGTATTATGGTGCCTGTCTGCTAAATTTTGTAGCAGGGGCAGGGAAGTTGATGGGCTATTCAGTGTCCCATTAGAGCTGCTGATTCAGTCATTGCAGCATTTTCTTAGCAAAAGAGTAAATTCCCATGGTCCCACTAGAATTCTGGAGAATCACAGAATGGTTTGGGTTGAAAGGTACCTTAAAGATCATCTAATTCCAACTCCTCTGCCATGGGCAGAGATACCACCCACTAGACCCCTGAGAGTCCCATCCAACCTGGCCTTGAGCACTTTCAGGGATGGAGCATCCACAACTGCTCTGTGCAGCCTTTTCCAGTTAGTGTCTTACTACCCTCACAGGAAATAATTTCTTCCTAATAGTAAAGAAATTCTTCTCTAATGAAATTCTTCATAATGAGATCAAATGAAAAAACATCCCCTGTGTGTGTGTGTGTGTGTATGACCAGGAGCAGTGACAGAACTAAAAAATTATTTTCAAAATAAATTTTATATTAATACAGCCTGGGTTTTTGAGTCTGGCATATCCAGATTGACTGAAAAATCGTGCCTTGTCAGTTTCAAGTGAACTATAATGGGAAAAGATTTAAGGGGAGTTGTTGTGGCTTACTGAAAATTCTCATCAGAATACCATATTCAGTTTGTCGCTTATTCCTGAAGGCAAGTAATTACATTTGAAAGATGCTTTCCCTGTTTGACAAGAGAGATATGATGTGCTACTGGCTTAAATAGAGAAATAGTCAATAAAAATTAAATAACTTGCATTTGGCTAAAACGTAATGATAAGAAATTCTGTATGGCTAAAGATAAGAAGGCATGAATAGCAAAAAGGGATTTTACTTTTTAGTGCTTTCCCTGAAGATAGATAGATAGACTGTGTTTTTAAATATACAAACACCCTGCCAGTTTCCCAGACATATAAAATTACTGAAAATCAGCCAAGTAGTGTCTGCAGTCTTGATAGAAAATAACTCCTGTGATCCATAGTTGTAAAAATTACCAAGCAAACTTGTGATCTTGTTTAAGAACTTCGACTTGTCTGTCTGATGGAGAAATGAATCCAAAAGAAGTAAGACCCTGAGATCAGCTCAGTTGGTTGGACCATGACGCTAATAATGTCAAGGTTGTGGGCTCGATCCCTATATGGGCCATTAATTTAAGAGTTGGACTCTGATCATTGTTGGTCCCTTCCAACTCAGAATATTCTGTGAAATGTGTTTGTCTTTGGCCTTGTTGAAGTGGAATTTTTATCTGATGGCCAGCAAGAATTAAGCATCTTATGCCTATATACTCTAAAGGCCAAGTACCTAAAATGTGCATGAGGTAGAAGGGGATGACAGCTGGACAAGACATGAGACTTGTAGGCCTTTATATATTGCTGACTTTGGCCAATAATCATGTTAAAGAATACTGCTGAGGTATTACTTAAAATACATGCATTAAAATAAAACAATAGCAACAGCAGGTAATTTAAAAAGGGGGTGACATATATCACTTTCAACACAAAATGGGTCACAAGTTTTTATTTCCAATTCAAGTCACAGCTTTCGGTTCTAAATTGATGTATGTTTTCCACACAGAGCAATGCTTTGGAAGAAAGGATTTACTTGGTCAATTAATATGATTGTATTGCCATTTATATACAGGCTAGTTGGACTGTTATCTTGTGTTGCCATTAATAAAAAAATATTACCTGTCTCTTTATCATTAATGGGAAAACATTCTGAAACGTAATATGTGACTTTGTAAAGTTACAGTGAGAAACTTGAGAAACTCTTGAGGAAATCGTTTTATCACCCTGCCTGCCTTACTTCTGACTACGTTTCAGTTATAACCCCCTTCTAACATTTAGGCAAGATGTGTGTGGCTTAGATCTTCTGCTTGTAATTTTTACCTAAAGTCATACACACTCCTCTGGGACTTGAATTTTGTAAAGCTACAAAATTGTGATGCAACCAGAGAATCATAGAATGGCCTGGTTTGGAAAGGACCTTAAAGATCATCTTGTTCCAACACCCCAGCCACAGACAGGGACACCTTCCACTAGACCAGGTTGCTCAGAGCCCTATCCAGCCTGGCCTTGAACATTTCCAGGAATGGGGCATCCACCACTTCTCTGGGCAACCTGTTCCAGTGCCTCACCACCCACACAGTAAAGAATTTCTTCCTAATATCTAATTTAAACCTATTCTCTTTAAGTTTAAACCATTCCCCCTTGTCCTGCAGCACTACATGCTTTTATAAATAGTCTCTCTTCATCTTGTAGGCTCCCTTCAGATACTGGAAGGCTACAATTAGTTCACCCTGAAGCCTTCTCTTTTCTAGTCTTGAGCAATTCCAGTTCTCTCAGCCTTTCCTCATAGGAGAGGTGCTCCATTGCTCTAATTGTCTTGGTAGCCCAGAGATTCAGAGGACTGAGTTTAGTTCAGGAATAAGCAGCTGGAGCAAATAAACTGTTTAAATAGCTACCCAGTGCAGACCCTGCCTATTTGAACTAATAAAAGAAAATGAGCATGTAGGAGTGAGATTGAGAGGTTCCCAGAAACTGCAAAGGTTAAAATGAAACAAACAGTTCTTCAGTGATGAATGTTTGCACTAAGGATTGGTGGTACTCTGTTCTTATCTGTTGTAGGGATTTATCTTTAGGAAAAATGACTCGCCAAATGTCAGGAGAAGAAAGTGAGTGCAGTGGTGAGGTGGAATCTTCTGCAGTAGAAGCAGACCAGGGTACCCTGGGTGAGGACAGCTGGTAAATACTGTTATTTTACTTATATTTTAGTTATTCTTAAAGTATGTTTTTTAAAATGTTCGGTCTTGCATAAATTCTGCACAGCTGAGGAATTCAGCATTTTATTGCACACCTCTGCTGCATAAAGGCCCTCAGGATAGATAATTTTAGATCTGGAATACAATAAATTGAAAAAGTGTTTTAAATGTTTTGTGGACTGTCTGCATAAAATTACTATGGAGGATCATACTAGGTCCCATTTGACAAAGCTTATTGATCTGTCATTGCAGCTCAGACAAAGAGAACCATGAGCCATGCTGGAGTGGCTCTTTGGCTGGAAATCCTGTCCCAGAAATTGAGGTCGCTGAAGTAGCGTATACCGTGGATGAAGAATAGATGAGCAGCAGCTGCTGTTACAGGTTCATGTTTGGGATGTATCTGAGGGTAGGAGCATAGAGTAGCTGTGAAGAATTTACAGCAAAGAGCAAGAATGCACAATTGAATGTTTACATAAATCCTTACAAATTATTAATGTAAGAAATATACCCAGAGCTGCTTTGATTTCAGTTTTTATCTAGCCTTTATATATTTAATATATTGAAGTCTAATAAGGGCTAAAATCAGCTGAAGTTTAGATAGTGTACATACACAATTTGGCTGACTTTCCTAGCGGAATGACAAGTTCCACACTAAATCACTGAACACATCTAACTCCCATGTCATATGTTGCCACTGTTGTGACATGTTTGATGTGTTCATCTGTTTGGTATTTGTGTTTTCATATTCTTATAGCCATAAATTAATGCTTGCTGAAGTAAAAATGGACTCATCTATGTGTAAGAGTGGAGAATGCGTTGGTTTTAAATTCTGAAGTTGAAGAATGTTTCCCTGGAAATTTTAATGCAATGCAATAGGAAAAATTCCAGTACCAAGAGAGGAGTACTTACAAAATGGGATTATAGTTGGACATTTTAAAACTGGTCATTTTTGCTGAAGGAATTAATATGAGACCCCCAAAACACTGTGTATTTTCATCCCAAAATAGCATGCTGTAATACTTTTTGTTCAGTAATGCTGCTTTGAAAATCTGGGATACCTTTGCTATATACCCATGTAACAATAAAATCAGTAAGTTTGCCTTTTACTCAGAACACTACCTCTTACCACCTTACTTATGCATTTATGTTTGTTTAAAAATATTCAAGATTATATGGAGGTTATTGAAAGACTTGTAAAGAAGCCATATTTTTTTCCTGCACACTTCATAACTAGATTGAATCTAGTTGCAATGTATTTTTGTTTCAATATATTTTACACATGGGGATGTTGGTACCTATGTTGTATAGCCTATTTTTCAAAATGTATTAAGACAGGAGATGCACTTTATAATTAAGACTCCATTGTGCCAAGTTCAGTTGGCTAATTGGTTGAGAAAGGGGAGTTGCAGGGAGAGGATTATGTAGTGCCTTTTTGTATTTTACTTGTTCATTACTGCAGAATTTTGTTACAGTGCTCTCGGTCAGTTCTGTGGAATCTTTGATACAGCTTGTTTCTGTTCTTCACTTATTTACTGAAAGTGCCTTGTTTTATTCTGCTTTTCCAATAGGAAGAATGCTGTTTTGTTTTAAGTTTTTTTCCCTATACCAACCACATCGTTGTTTAATGTTGTCAATATGCAGTGTCTTTGTGCTGGAGTTTTCAAAGGGAGCTTTGTACTTCAGACTGTGCATACAATGACCTTTATGCAGAACTGTATCAACCTTCCTGGTGAAATAAAACTATGGACAAAACACCTGTCTTCTTTTTTCCATTGTAGAAAAGACCAAAATGTTTAATGCCTTGTCTAGCAGAAGGATAAAACACTGTTAGGAGACGTTTCTTACCTCAGTGATTTCATATAGTTACTCAGCTTTTGGTCTTGAGTCCTTTTTGTACCAAAAATTGTCTGCATGAAAATAAATGAGAATGCCATAACAGACACCAGGAAATTTACTATACTTCTGTTGGAGTTAAAATACAAAAGGAACTCATCTTTTTTTTTATATTCTACATGAATCTTTGTAGATGTTGAGTGAACTCAATAAAGTTTTGAAACATTATTGAAAATACATCAAATCTTGTGTCAGATATTACATATTTGAAAAGAGTGAACCCTGCCTATTAAAATAGTGTTAGGTTTACAGTTATAAATGTATAAATGCTTTTAAAATCTTGAAAAGCTGCTTGGGTTATACATGCTAATGATTTCTGAAGCACAGCAGGTACATCTGCAAATCTAGATGCTAAAGAAAGTATTAATATAATTTACAGTTTAGTCATGAGAGAGCAAAGGAATGGAAGCTTCAAGGTTTGTAAGATATTTTGTTAACCCAAAATATTCAGTATCACCTGAATAGACATTTTTGTTCAGCGGACCTTGATTTTTAGTTAAACAGAGCTGGAAAATGGGAACTTGTTCAGTAGCCATGTGGTAACACTTCACCTATGCTACTGTTTAATGAATGGTTACCTCCCTGAGGGACATTGAGAAATTGAGGTGCCTGACCCATCGTGGCCTTGAACATCTTGATCAAAGTCGATTCCAAGTCTGTCCCATACTGAATTTTTTCTGGTGCACTTGCTTCTATTCTGGCACTATTTTCCCACCCATTTCCTTCTCTTTTTACTCATTGCTGCAATTTTAGTACAGAAGCAGCCAAGTTTCAACTATTTCATTTTAAGAATTTGGCAGTGGAATTCTGTGCCCTGTAGGTTGTGCAGAGGAATATTCCAACTGGAATTGTAGCAGAGTGAACTAATACAAGATTTGCAACTAGTAACGTTCTTTTCTGTTGTAGGTGATTGTCTTAATAGTTCAGCCACAGATTTACTGTGGGGTTTTTTTCCCCTTAGTTTTAGATTTTAATACATTGTACCCAAGTTAATACTCCAGGGGTTTTGATTTTCTTTAATAATACACCTTTTAATAATCCTGAAGGATTTTTATATCCTCCAAAGCCCTTGTGGTCTGCCCATACCCCTTCCTTCCTTTTGATTTGCATACTCCTAAATCAGTTAAGATACTGACTAGCATTGAATCAAGAATGAGTCCTTATAAAACTCCCACTCCATACTTTTCCCAGTATGACAACCATTAGTTACTGTGAGTACAACAGTCCCATTGAACGAGGTTGAGGAAGGTTGAACACTGCACCTGCCAGTGGTAGGAGAGGGCAACCTACATTGTGCAGGGTAAGCTCTTTTCTAGGTATGTCTGTCCCAAATTAGTTTTACTCTCTGAATCTCGTTAGAGCACTAAGTAATTTGATTTTTTTCTCTCTTTGTGGTTTCTATTCCTTTGTTGAAATGTAGCTATGGAGCAGCAGCAATTGTCCTGTCAGAAAAAAGTAGAACACAAAAAAATGCCCTGCCATTTCTAGTAGAACTTTCTATATCACTTATGTGATTTTGTTTGGAGAGTTTTTTTTCCTGGTCTATCAGATTCTATTACATACTGGGGGAGGAATTTGGAGGAGTTATGCTCTGAAGTCGCTGTTGCAATGAGTTTTTGTAGGAAATGTCAGATAAATAAATATTCCAAGGTCACAGATACCCAAAGAAGAGAAGAATCCTGTAGGAAACACTCCATTTATGGAATACTGGGTCTTAGGAGTCTTTCTTCCTATCATTCGTTTCTATATTTCAGTTAAGTCTTTGTGCCAGAGATCAGAACATTCAGTTTACTAACACAGGTCCAACATTTAAAACCAGGTATTTTCCTATAAAATACAGGACGTGCTTTAAGGGATGCTTGGGTAACTGAATTGTATCCTCATATCCATGTTTATTTGCATCTAGAGAACTGATAATGCAGCCATCTCCAAAAGATGTCTCTTTTAAACAGTTTGTACTCTGGCTGACTAGTCAGTGTACTGACCAATGGAGTTGTTGTTCTGTATTTTTATTATCTTCACATTTTTAATGCATAGATCTTAACCTCCTAGAGGAAAGATGAGAGAGAATGGAAAAGGCAGAGGAGAAAGGGGATTTTCTTGTCCATAGTTTACACTGGAGCATTTGTCCCCTTTGAAAGTGAAAATTCATTCACTCGTTTGCTGACCAGAATCGCATTTCCACTCTATGTTGGTTTCTGTGTTGTGAGTGGTTTTAGGTTCTGTGTTAGCATAACTCATTCAGGAACCTCTTTATAAGGTATGTTCTCCCATAGCACTGGTTTCTTTGCCATCCCTTGCTGCACTAACCTTTATCCCAGTCTTGTTTCAAAGGGCAACCTTTTGTATTTGGTCCTTCTCAGGTTTTGCATTGCAAGAAAAACACTGAGCTGAGGACTTTTTTTCAATGTTTTTGATCTCCTTCCAAAGTTTGACTTACCTCTTGTTTCTGATGCAACTGTACAGATTTGGAGGAGTGGCAAGGTAGGGAAAATGCATTCTATTACACTAAACTCTAAAAGAATAATGTATTCTTATCTTGTAATAGGTACAAATGACAAATTTATGTCATCTCAGAGTACTAGTGACTGTTGGCCATATATATCCTGCTGTTACTTATCATTCTCCAGTTGGATAGCTTGAGCTTCAAGCTGGAGTACAAAATGTTTCTCTTGAAAGTTCTCCTTGAGTTGATGAATTCTAAACCATTCTGGTGGTAGTTCCAGAGTCAGGAAAAGGCTATCATGAGACATGTCTAAGCATGACCCCATGTCACATACAAAGCATCTTTTTTCTTCTGGTGGGCACATTTTAAAGCCCTGAACTGCAGTTTTAACCAGCATCATCAAAATAAAGTGATACTGGTGTTGAAGGATCTTGTTTAACAAGGGTCAGGCAGAGTTACACTCGGGCTGCCCAGAGTGCAGGATGTGCACAGGCGGGGTGTATCCGAGACAAGCATTTTTCACTATCGTGTAGAGGTAACAGGACAGCTGAAGGAGCTTTGTAAATGGCTGAGTCCTCAAATGGCATTCTCTTTAGCTGGATAAATCAGAAAGCGTGATGTGACAGAGAATTAAAATTCCTAACATGAAGTCTTTCTGCAACAGAACAGCACCTGACACTGAAATTGCAATTCAGGAAATATAGTGATGTTCTAACTCAACTAGCAAGGCTTCTCTTTTTATACCTTTAACCTCCATCCAAAAGGGAGAAAAGTAGCCTGTGATGCATTTGTCTTGTGTATAACTCAAAGCCTTACAATCTTCCTGTCCCTCCCTGTTTGTGTGACTTGTGCCTTTTCTGTCTCATAATGAATATCAGAGCATCCAGCCCAGGCTGGAATTCTGGTATTCCTTGTAAAGATTCCAAACTGCAAGCAGGGCAGCATGGCTCTGAAGAGGAAGAGGCTTGGAAGTGGGAGTGCTGAAGTTGATTAATAATTTTAGTCCTCAAAAGTGCTGTCCCTGCTAGTCAGAGCTGAACCCTTCAGCTTTGGGAGACAGGGACATCAGAGAAGAGATCACTCCCTCACAGTGCAGAAACCCTCGGTCTGGGTCTTCCTGCCAGTGGGGGCCAGGGTTCACGTGACTAAAGCACTGGTGTAATAAATTGGATTCTGGGATCAGCTCCCAGCTCTGGCTGAGTCTTATCTGTCTTAAGGGAAGTTGGCAGGTTCTGCACCTTAAAACTTTGCTAAGCCTTGAGAAGCAGTATTCCAACCTATGTTTTCCTGGTTTTCAGCACAATCTTCGTGGAGACCTTTCCCCTTCTTACGCCTTTTAAGCTCTTCATGGAGACCTTAAAGTCTTGCTGATTCATACTCAGCACTTCTTTTACTTGAGGATCACCAGGGTGCTCTCCAAATTCAAGAGTTTGTCCCCATTTTGTATCTGAGAGATAGGTATTGTATTTCCTTCTGCTCTGCAAATGAGACTGAGGAAGAAAGCAATTACATGATTCACTCTAATAGCACAGTAAGTCAGTAAGTGCAGTCCTAGTGTTACTGCGGCTCCCATAAACTTGTCAGCAGGTTTAAATTAGATGATTCGCTGATCTGGTGAGACTGTTGTCTGTATCATACAGGAACTTTGTCTTGGAATATCTCAGCTGGGTTTCAAGTAGGTCTAAATATCCTTGCTGATACATTACTAGCTGCTGTTGGATTTTATAATACTCCTTTCCTCTGTGAGTTCAAACTGAAAACACTAGGGGGGTTGCATTAATATAGTGAAGAAACAAGCCTCTGCTTTCTGAACCCCCTGTGGATTAATGCTTCTCATGTAGACGAAACCACAGCTGTTTTATGGAAATGTTGAGAATGACTACGAAATGCTGCTTGCTGTTTGTTTGGCAGTTAATGTGGGTTCGTCAAGCATTGCTCATCTGACAAGCGCCTACTGGGAGAAGGTTGCACACTGACCTTTCAAGATCTCATTATTGTTTTGAATGTTCAATAGATAGATAGATAGGAGATAGCTTAGGAAGCAGTTGTAACATGGCAAACCTACAGCATCTCTCCTCCCAGATTTCCTGTGGCCCTTTCCTAGACATTCTCAGTATTTCTGATAACAAGATTATGAGGTGTATTTTTTGTGATGTGAAAGGGGGTCTCCCTTTCCCCCTCATTTTGCAGTATAAACATGCCTGTTACACGGATGAGCAGAGACAAGGGGAAAGAGCTCTACCCTGTTATGGCAGCCACTTTGTACATTAAGAGAAAGTCTTGCTCTGAGAAGTTTATTTTTTGTGTGTATGTGCAATATATGGGCAAGGGTACAATAAGTTGTATTGGAAGAAGCAGACAAGAAAACTGTCTCATTCTGTGTAATCTTTTGAAAAAAATCAGCCATTCAGTAAGATGCTGATGTGCCTGTAGAGGCATTGCTCCTGCTTAGGTCTACAAAAGCAGACCAGAAAACTGAGGTTCTTGTGGAGGTAATTGTGGAGGACACCAGTCAGATCTGACTTTGTTGTCCCTACCTAAATAGGCAATTAAAAAAATAAGTTGAGAATGTTGCAAAATAAATGTGCAAAGTAATGTGTTATGAAAGAACATTAAACAATTAAAAATTAAACTCAACCTTGCTGTGAGTTAACCCGAGAAAGAGAACATGTGCAAATAATAACTTTTATCTGTTTCTGCTGTCAGTGTGTTGCAGTTCACTACTGACATCCTCTGAG